AAAAGTAAGAGGCTCACTTTCTAGTTTTCCTGGTGATGGCTAACCAATTAACTTTCCCTTAGAACATGCATTACATGAGAAAACATTAGATTGTGGTTTGTTGACTTTTCAATGAATGTTCACATGAATTCTCAATTATTTTTTGCATTATAATTGTTACGGGATGGTCTAACTAGTCATGTCAAACATTAAATTTGTTATCATTTGTAAACTGCTAGTTTATAATGATATGTACTTCAATTGTACTAATAATTATGTAGTACAAACCAAAAGAAAATGCAGGCAATCTTTCTAGTATGTATTTTTTTTAAAAGAGGTTGATTTTGTAATAGCAAGATATTCTTGATTTTTCTCAATTATTGTTTCGATATGGTATCTATTCTTGCAGATATCCTTGAAACTCAACAAATTTCTTTTAGACTTAGTTGAGTAAAATGCACTATCAATGTATAATATTGTTCCTCCAGATAATAATATATTAGCTCTTCTGTAGCCTTCAATCAGTTTTGCACTTCTAGATATAGTCTGAATGTTGGCTTCTTGCATTACCAAAGAAGAGAAATACTTTTTATTTCTAAGTATTGTATGAGTTGTTGCACTATCAATAAGACATAAATCTTCATGATTGACGTCAATAGGAACCATTTTTCGTTACAAGGAACATAGTTAAGAGAGGGGAAGGGAAGAAAACAAAATTAATAAAAGGAAAATACTCATAATTTTATTAATCTGGAAACATAACAACATTGAAAGTAGAAACTTTGTAAAAGAAGATGGGAAAAAAAACTAAGTCATAGAAATTTAACTTCACTAAAGATCAACTTTCCATTAGGATCAGCAAAGAAATCAGCAATATCCAAATAAGTGACATCCATCTTGCCATAATCAGAATCGCCCTCTGCATCAACAAAATTGGTTTCTACCCTTAGCATTATGCTATTGCCTTTACTTTTATTTCTAAGCGATTCTTGACAAAGGTCAACCCAATGTTTCGATATACGATAGGTACATGACTAATGATCATTTCCACCACAACGATAACACGAATCTTTAGAGTGGTTATTACTTCCACTAGTCTTTCTTTTGTGATTCTCATCATTCTTTACTCTCTTTGAGTAGGAATTTGAACTACCCCGATTACGACCACGACCACGTCCATGGTCAATGCGACGACCGCATGCACGTCCATGTCCTCGCCCCATGACTACGTGTTGGTCCATTTACTGCTACATTCGCTTATGGGAATGGAGTGGACTTGATTGGACGAGATTCATGATTTTTGATTAAAAACTCATTATTTTGCTCAGCTACAAGAAGGCAAGAAATTAGTTCAGAATACTTTTTAAAGCCTTTTTCATGATATTGCTGTTGCAGGAGTACATTGGATACATGAAATGTGGAGAATGTTTTCTCTAACATGTCTTCATCAGTGACTTTTTCTCCAAATAATTTTAGTTGAGAATTGATTCTAAATATCACAGAATTATACTCACTAACATATTTAAAATATGGTAGGCACAAGTACATTCATTCATAACGAGTTTTTGGGAGAATGATAGTTTTCTAGTAGTCATACGTTTTTTTTCAAATTGTTCCAAAGAACAAGTGGGTATTTAGTGGTCAAATATTCCATTTTTAGTCTTTCATGCAAATGATGGTATGAAAAGATCATGACTTTAGCCTTTTCTTAATTAGATGTCTTATTTTCTTCCTTAATTATGTCTCCCAAACCAGTGGCATTTAGGTAAATTTTCGCATCTAATATCCAAGATAAGTGGTTCTTCCCAATGATATTAAGAGCAATAACCTCAATTTTTGTAAGGTTTGACATGGTAACACTATCACAAAAGATAATATTAAAAAAAAATTGGCATGTATGCAAATTACAATGCTCTTTGTTAATAAGAAGAAAAAGAATCATAAATTACCAGAAGGAAACAAATGAAAAGAAAATTAAATGAGAAAGGGACAAAATTTGGTATATTGTCTCCATGGATATAAGCATTTAAAAAAAATAACAAATAAACAATAAATATTTCTCAAAAATAAATATATACATCACTTCTAGTCATTTAATGAGATAAAATCAAATTTGAATGACTTCTAGTCATGAATTAAAAATTATATGGCTTCTAGCCATATGTTAGAAAATCAAAATTATGACTTTTGGTTATTAAAATTGAAAAATTAAAGTTATAAGAAAGAAAAGTTTTTATGGCTTCTGGCCATAAAATAAAAAATAAAGTTTTATGGTTTTTGGTCATAAAATAAAAAAAGACTATAAGAAATGATAACAAAGTTTTTATAGTTTCTAGTCATAAAGTAGAAAATAAAGTTTTATGGCTTTTAGCCGTAAGAAAGAAAACAAATTTTTTATGACTTTTTGCTATAAAGTAGAAAATAAAGTTTTATGATTTCTGGACATAAAAAAGTATAACAAAGTTTTATAACTTTTGATCATAAAATAGAAAATAAAATTTTATGACTTCTAATTATAAAATAAAATAAGAAATAGATTCTACTCAATAATATCTCCAGTGATGCCGGAGAAGAACAAATCATGGGAGTGCTTAGTGCCGGTGGATCTGGCAAATCCACCCTCATTGAATCCCTCGCCAATCGCATCTCCAAAAAAGCCCCGTTACCTTAAACGGTGAGGCTTTCGAATTCGGACTTCTCAAGGTGATTTCCGCTTACGTCATGCAAGCTGACCTTCCCTTCCCCATGCTCACAGTGAACAATCTAAAATAGGGCTTCAAGGCATTTTGGATATATATTTAATGCCTCTTTAAAGCGATGATCGCCAAACATGGTGTACAATAATAGGAAGAAGATCAAAGTACTATATTTTTGTTAGAACACTCGTGCTAATAACGTTTTATAATTAAAGAAGAAGAATAGAAAAGATAAGAAAATAATAAGAGTGAGTATTTCATATTCCATTGAAAAATACTCAATACATCATACATAACCTTTGTTTATAGGCACAGCTTTATATTTTTGATGGAATCTACAGAAAACATAATAATAAAAGATAATTGCAGATAACGGGAATAAGAAGAGATATTAAAAATATTGAGAGATAATGGAGATAATGATGGATATATGAATATCTATAAAGATATTATATTCATAACAATTTATTAATTATCTTATTTTATTTCTTCATAGTAAATAACACATGTATAAATTTGATATATTAAATACTTTTATTATAAAAATGGGAAAAATTATAATTATTGATGACGAAAAAACAATTATGCAAAAAGTAATACTTTGATCACAAACACCAAAAAAAAAAACCCTTTTTTTTTTTCCTCTTTTGATAGTACAGTGAACTGAATGTCTTTCACCACGACCATATACGGTGACCAATAGATCTTCCTTGAGAATTAGTGGGGTTTCTATGACCTCACAACCATTAATTTCTATTTTCAATGGAGATAAATACGAGTTTTGGTCTATCAAGATGAAGACGCTCTTACCATCTCAAGACCTATGGGATTTGGTTGAAGACAACCAATGACGATTGAAGGAAACTAAGAAGCAAGATGCAAAGGCTTTATTTTTCCTCCTGCAAGTCATGTATGACAACCTTTTCCTTTTTCTAGAGTCGCTTCCGCAGCGACTTCTAACGAGGCATGACAGATTTTGAAAACTGAGTTTTAGCCCTCACAAAGTAAACTCTGTAAAACTACAGGCACTTCATCGTAAATTTGAGAATCTCTGTACATTAGAGTTTGGGAGATGAACAAAAGGAATCTGATCTTAACTCATCTTGGCGACTGCTTATAGGTTTAGATTCAGATCCAACATTACATCAGAAATTTTAAATTTTTAATCCAGCGTCTCCGGTAAAATATCATTACAGCTCAGATTTTATTTTTTTAATCCCATTACAGAAAATTACATTTGTATTTTCATTTAATCCAGATCATAAGTGACCTTGCCATATCTTGCTTCATTTCTAGGTAATGTCATGCTTATATAAATTAATCTCCTGCAAGTAGAGGTTTCATATAAGTGTGACTTATCTGCTGCACGAGTGGGCAAAACATCATAACTAATATATTGAGTATGGACTGACTTCTATGGCTTTCACTTAACTAGAAATTAAAGCAAACTAACCAGCACGTTGTTCATTGCACACTCATAGGATAGAACTTGAATCAATTATCCATGCATGTGCAGGCAATTATAGTTGTTCTGATTGTTTAATCAACTTGGCAGGATTTGTTATATTGACAAAGCAGGTAAGGATTCAAATTGACTAGAATAATTGAACAAAATGCATGGGTTTAGGACTATTTTATTTTCAATTATTGTGGTAATTTGGTAGGAGGAAAAGGTTATCTTCTGACTTTAGTTCTCATATTAAACTTTAGTTAGTTGTTGGGATTAGTTATAAAGTTTTCATGATCATTATTTAATTATCAACTAATGACAATTGCAAGGCTGGCAGATATGATTAAGATTCAAACTTTGAATCCCATGGGTGGCACAAAAGTGGGTTTGCTGAACATACTAAATATTATGTTTTACTCATCCTCCTTTGTCCTTCGTTTTGTTTGCTTTCTCTCTTAGAAATGAAATAGAATTTATTTGAAGCAGAAACCTAGCAATAGGGTGGTTAATTGGTAGATTAAATGAGACAACAGAATAATCCTCTACTGTTCCTTTTCATTTGCTTTAAGAAGCAGGTTGACCAAGAAAATTGAGATTATTCTCCTTTCTAACTCAAATTAATCCCAAGATTTTTTCCCCCCTCACTAACAGGGGACAAAAATTCGAGAACCTATTATAGGTTCTATCTGTGTACGTTCTGATCGCCGACCAATATTAGGTCCATTTGAAAAACTGACATTGGCAAAGCTGGAAAGAAGAAAAACATATATTCAGCAAAAGGAAAGTATCATTAATCACATTTATGTACAAGTGTGAGACACTCATGGGGAAAATTGAATTTGAGTGTCCAAGATTATCCTAAATATTTTGTGTAACTAGTTGTTGAAGATGTTGAGAAGAGAAACTCTAGTTCTAATAAGTTTTCTTGAAAGGCATTCAACTCCTCTTTCTAGATCTTGAATGCACATCTCCAAATTTTCCAAATCGCCTTGAAGATTGTTTTGACTGACGAGGGATTTCAAAGCTTCATCTACCTTCTCCAATTCATTTGTGCCAATTTCTTGAGAGTCACAAGAAACTCTTTTTGGCTGCATCAGCTTGGAGATTGCTGACCATCTGTTCTGTTTTAAGTGTCCCTTTGTACCAGAAATGAAGCACACCAAAGATTCTAATGTGCTCATGGTGACTGCTTCTGCTTCATTTACATGCTAAGCATGTCATTTTTTTGTTTGGAGAAGAAACTATGAGATCCATTTTCTTCTCTGAAACTTCCCAAGACCTTACAAATTGCCTTCTTCATCTTCTTCCTAGAAGCCAAGTATTCGCCAACCGCAATCGCAAGTCCATTTTTTGAACCTCTCCTTCTACGGATGACTGACTGAAGCTCTTGCAAGCTTTCCTTTGATTGAAGCAGGAAATCTTTGGCTATGCTACATACATCCAAGAGCCTTGCAGATCCATCAAGTAGTTCATCAAAGGTTTTGCTGCTGAACTCTCTTGCAAAGTCTTGTTGGGTGGTTGGTAATTGAAGAACCTTATCAATGCAATCATGTAAACCTGTAAGCCACTGAGTTGTGGCTTTGAGATGAAGAAGAGAAGAAGAAGAGGCAGATTCAGAAGATTTCAATCGGCTAAGATGCTCCTCAAATTGTGATACAAGAGGGTGGGGTGCAGAGGGCAAGCTGTTAGATCTTATATGTAAAGAGCTCTTTAAGCTTGAATCAGAGGATGCCATTTTATCTTCTCAGAAAATAGAGGCTACAAGATGATGAATATACGGTTTGTTCTGATCTCTTGTGTTTTCAGCGGTAGGCATCTTCTCCTTATATATCCAAGGATAAGATGGAGACAAAAAGAATATTTTTCTTTTTCAAATGTCCCAAAGTGAGCATGCAATGATATCTTCTTGATATGATTCTTAGTTGCTTTTACGTTGTTTGCCCAATGCTTCCCATGCCCCAGATTGGCCAACTCATTACTTAGTTTTTGATACGGGAATCACAATAATGCATATGCAATTGGATGGAGTGGGCATCAAAATTTGGTCTTCTGTCTGTGGGAAGAGTTTTCTATCGTAATATAATCTGTGTTCTATGAACTTGTATGCCTGGAAGATACATACAGCTGTAGTTTACAGGAAATAGGAATCAAACATTGGTGAAATATGGATGGCTATGTTATGCAGTTGTCTCAATTCATTGTTCATTAATTAAGGAGCAATGAATCCATAAGATGAGTTGAATGAATAATTAAAAAGACAAGCCAGAAGTTGGCT